GAAAGGGCTAAAACTTTGGGTAACGAAAATGCATCTCTTGGAGCAAACTTAGGAGCACCTGCCAGGTAGTGCTGGTGGTGTGGGACTTTGCTCCAGTGACCTGAGAAACCTAGAGAGATAGCTTTTCTTGGAAAATGAGTTCAAGGCAATCACGCTATTTGTGACGTGGGTCTTGTCCTGCTTTCAGCCTTTTTTAGCAGGCTGGACATCCCAGAAATACAGGGTGTTGCAAGTTCTGTGAAAAAAGGCACCTGCCTTGAGAAAAGATTAGTTTGCCTGTGTGGGAAAAGCTTCATCAAAGCACACCCCTAAATCCTGAGCTGAGCTAAGAGGCAACCCCAGAGCTGGTCAAGCCCCCTGGTTTCTCTGCTTAGGGGGTGACTTGTTTCTTCCAGATTCCTTGTTCTCAGCAGAGAGCTTGGAGGAGCTCAGCTGTGTTTGGGGTCTGAGTGTCTTCTAGGTACGACCTTGGGTTAGCATCTGCCAAAATCTTGGTGCCTCCCAGTGTACCTGAAGCATGGAGATGACAGGCTGGCAGATTGGATTTCTTGAGGTGACTCTGTAGACTGGCTGTTGAGGTTGAAGCAACATTTATCCATGTAAAGGTGTTTGAGATCATCTGGTCTTCCTCTGTTCTGTCCAGCGTGGTGCTGTGTAACCCTCAGTTGGCTCTGGAGCTGCCTCAGGTGCAGGACAATTTCTCTGCACTTCTCTAGGCCAGTTCTTCAAGGCAGATCTTAGCTAGAGATGGAGTCCATTTTCACCAATACTTCTGTAAAATCCCTGGAAGAGCTTATGTTTATATAATTATAAAAGTGTGTCTTGCTCATAAAACTTATTTTGCTCCCTGAATTGGTGTAGGTTCTACTACAAAGCCTGCTCTCGCTTCTACATTGCATGTACTTGAGGTTTGCTAAGATCACTAACAGGAAGCTCCTGCAGTAGAGCTTAGATTAAAATTATGGAACAATCTGATTGTGATGTTAATATAATGCCTGGAAGATCAAACCTCTGTGTCCTCTTCATGGCTATCAGGTTTTCTGAGATAAACACCTTTTATAACCCTTCTGATAGATTTCTGAGCTGCTGTTCAAAGAGGAAGTTGCTTTCCAGCAATCCCCTTTGATGCACCCAAAGGCCTCTGTCCCCTGCACTGCCATGGAGTTCATTCTGACCTGTTTCCCTCATATCTTCCTTTAAAGACCAAAAGATCCTTTAACACTTCTTTAAACAGGTGTCTTCCAGGAGGCTGTGAAAAACCATGAGCTTTTCCTCTGACTGAAGGTGTTTTCCGAAGAGGAGCTCGTTCCTCAGCACCCCTTACCTCCATTGCAACATCTCCCATTAAGACCAGAAGAGCCAGGCACTGACAGTCTCATGGCAGTGTGCTGCCTGCTCCGACTCCATACGGGGCCATCCCATGGATTCAGGAGGGCAGGAAGCCTTTGGAGGTAAAATGTGAGTGCAATTGCCAGCCGAGCATCGCAGGTGCCCTGAGGTGAAACTGTGAGGCTGTTTTTCGGGCTAGAGTGTGACCATCGGCAGGGATATCAAGTGGGGCCTGGGGCAGGGCTGGGGCATGGCTAGGGCAGGGAGTGCATCTCCCATTCCCACTGGTGCGTGACTTGAGCCCAGCCTGGGATTCAGGATTTGAAGCAGCCTCTTTCCATAGTGCATCCTCTGCTGCTCCTGAAAAGGCTGCTGTAAGGCCATGGGCAGTTTCCCACACCAGCCCTGGCTTGCTGAAGGAGCAGGAGGCTCTGGCATGGCGTGGGAGGCAGCTGGGAGTGTGCTGCAGCTGGGGACAGGGTGGAGGAATGTGCAGGCCCTTTCCAAGTGCCTTGGCCCATCAGGAACTTGGCCTGAATTTTCTTCCCCCTCCCGCCTCTCCTATCTGAGCAATTCCTGTGGGCTGTGGGCAGAGACAGTCTCTCCCAGCACCTGGTCTGATACTCCTCAGAGGGCTTGCACATATTCTTTGTTGCTGCTTCAGGTCAGCTATGCCAGCCAGAAACAAGAAGCAGGTTAGGGGTGTCAGAGGGAGCTGTGCTCTGCTTGCCTGGAGGGCTCCAGGGAGGCAGGAGATGTGTGATCCTGATGGGTCTGGAACAAACCTGTGCCCTTCCAGCCCTGGGCATCCCTTCCCAGTGCTCTGCATGAGAAGAGGCTCCATTTGCACGGGGCAGTGGCCAGGCTCTGCTGGGCCAGGGGTGCTTGGGGGGAGCACCTGGTGGGCAAGGGATTGGTGATGGGCTGTGTCGTTCCCTCTTCAGGAGTCGTGACTTTTTGCATGTTCCTCGTGACCAGCTGATGAGGTCGTAGGCCCTGACCTAGAATTGGAGTGTGCTGGGCATTTATAATGCCTCCAATTGCTTTTGAAGATAAGGGCACATTAGTATTTTATTGCCCCCTTTCTTCATCCAGGGCATCATCCAGAGCGAGAAGAAGAGAGGGGAAGGACTCGCTTCCTTATGGCAGGGGATTAGTCACTGCAGTCTGGCCTCTGGTGAGGGGCTGCAAGGCTCCCCACTCCACTGCACCATCCTACAAGGGGAGGGCTCCAGCCTGGGGTCTTGGCACAGCCCTTCCCCATCCAGCCCTCTTCCCACCCCAGCTTTCCCCCTGGCTGCCCCTTCCCCTTGCATCCTGCCTGTGTCCTGAGGTGGGCTGTGCTCCTCTGTGGCTTTCCTGCAGGAAATCCTGGAGCACCCTCAGCTTTTCCCACTGAGCTGGTGAGGGGCAAGAGGCAATCTGAGGGGCTGGCTCTGTGCTGTGCTGCCTGGCTCAGAGCTGGTTCCCAGGGCAGCCTGGGCTCCTGTCCTCTCTGGCCCTGGGCTGGGCCACATCCAGTGTGCCCTCGAGGACCTGGTTTATCGATAATGGGGAATGTGGCTATTGCATGAGGCAGAGATAACCACTGCCACTGCATCCCTGCACGCCTCGTCCTCCCCTTCCCTTCCCCATCCTCCGCTCCTGCTGCTTAAAGAAGTGGAAAATCCTTGTCAACCTGCCTTGCCCTGCAGCCAAGGTTCACATCTTTGAGTGCATTCACATTGAAGGCCAGGAAAGCCAGAGGGGAGAGACGTTCCTCTCCCTGAGCCCACCCATGCTTAATGCAGGGGCTCCCCCTCGGTGGGGCCGGCAGCACCGGGACCTGGGGAAAGGCTCATCCCAGTTTCAGTGTGAGGAGCTCTTCAGCTGCTCTCCTGCTGTGCCACAGCTGGAGTTGGCACGCTGCACCCATGGAACAGGGGTCTGGCGTTGCACAGTTGAGGAAGAAGCCTGAGGAGCTGTTGGGGACGTTGGGGCCCATTGCCCCAACCGAACCGTGGGTGTTTCTGTACCTGAGCTCTGAGCTCTGCCTGCCTTTGCCTGTGCCTTTCTCCTTCAGGGAAAGCTGTGCAAGTCCTTTGAAACCAGAAATCTTCCCTTCTGCTGCTTGAATTGAAATGTTAATAAAGCCCACCACCAATCAAACTATGAACTGAGCATTTCAAATGCCCCTTTGTTTAATTAGCGCAGCCTCTCCCTGCAGACACCGCCAGACTGGGGTGGGAGGCGAGGGCCAAGGACACAGTGCCCAGGAATTCCTCCTCCTCAAAGTGTGACCCCTCATATCAAATATTTTCTTGCCTCCTCCCTGCATGAGCTGCCCAGAAACAAAACATTTATGGATGAAGGACCCTTAGAACTTGCAGCATCTCCTGGGGGGGCTGCAGCTGGCAGGTTAAGCCCCTTGCATGCCCCAGAGCTCTCTTTTCCTCAGGGCAGCAATAAATAACCCTTCGTAATGGAAATGGGGTGACTGGCCTTTGCCTTGAGATCCAGCCTGGTCTCTTCTAGTGAGCATCACTGGGTCCCTGTGTGGCTCCTTGCTCACTGAGGAGGGGAGAAAGCGTGACCCCTTGTTATCAGGAGTGTGCTAACCCCACAGCAAACATGATTTCACTGGTGCAAGGGTAACGGTGGTGACGTTTCCGTGGGGAACATGGTCCCTTCCTCTCTGGGACCTAATCTAAATTGCTTTATGAGAGGTCAGTAGGTAGAGTAAAACTTGTCCCTGGAGGACAGGGAGCCAGGGCAAAGGGGTCCCTTCTGTGGCATGGCAGAGCAGGGGGTTCTCTTGCATCTGGTAGGGGTACATCAGATGTGTTAAAATGTACTTGGTCCTTGGTGGGCTGTGGGGCTGGGCTTCCTGCACCTCCTCTCTCCTGCCATGCCCTGGCACGTGCCCAGCATCCCCCAGTGCCACTGGCAGCCTGTGTGACCTGTTATGCTGCTGCTCCTGTGTGGGGCTGCAGCTACACAGTGTTGTCCCACCACTGCCAAAGGGTTGTGTGGAGCAGCCTTGGCTCCTGCCTGCCCACCCTTTGCGGCTTTCTGATGTCTCACTGGTGGCATTTTCCCTCCAAAAACAGCCCCCGGAAGGACCTCAGGGCTCAGGACCTGCCTGTGAGACCCCTCTGCAGCTGTGTTGGGGTGTTCAGCCTCCACCATGGCCAGCAGCTGCTTCTGGTGCTTGGGACCATGACTGCCTGGGTGCCAGTGCTCATCTCCATCCTGGGATGGAGATGTGGGAATGCCAGGGCTCTCCCCACCTCCTGTGGACTTCGATGTGCCACATGTTTCCAGGAGCAGGGAATCCCCCTGTGGGCACCCCAGTCGCAGTGACATCTGCACCCTTAGGAGCAAGAAGGGGTGGGGGGAAGGTGTTGCCTGCCATTAGCCCTTATGGAGCTCTGCTTGCCCCTGCTGGCACCCTCACAGCAGTGGCACATGGCAACCTGTCAGCACGGTGCCCAGGGACAAACTGTGCAGGGGAGTGACCCTCCTCCCTCCCCACAGTGCTCCCACCTGCCCGGCTTCCTGGGGGGCAAATCCATGAGGTGTGGGGTGGGGGGAGGCAGCCAGAGCAAGGGCCAGAAGCTCCAGGTGGGCAAGCATAGCCCCCACAGTCCACCCTGCCAGGGGAGCTGCCAGAGGAAAGCTCAGATACAGTCTGGCTAGAAAGACAAATTTATTGCGACATCGGTTTGCAACCAGCACTCAACCCCCCCAGCAGTGACTCCATGATGCCCTTGACCCTGCTGTGATGCCTCCATGGCCAGGGGGCTGGTCCCTGGGGCCACAAGCCCACCCCTCCCATACAGATAGGTTCATTGGGGCTGCAGGCTGGGGTCCTGCTGTGCCAGGGGCTGCCTGTGGGCTGGCAGCATGGAGCAGGAAACAGAAGCTGGATTCAGGGTCCTTCAAAAACATAAGCCACCAGCTGGGATCTCTAAGCAGTCACAAGGCTCTCAGGATCCCCAGGGAGAGAGTAGGGTCGACCCCCCCCAGCACGTGAGAGGGCTGAGCACGGGTGATGCCGCCGTGTCCTCTCCTCTTACCGCGCTCCCTCGGTGCCAACCCAGGGGAGAGGTGCCAGCCTGGTTCCCATCTGCAGCCACTACACATATCCCGTCAGGTTGTAGGAGTTGACCTCACTCTTGGGCTTCTGCACCTGGTTGACAGAGGGTTGGGGGCTCTTGCTCACCAGCAGCTGAGGCTGGTAGGTGTAGGTGGCTGCTGGGTCCCGGGCAGGGCAGGAGGTGCAGAGGATGAAGCCACCGACGAGGGAGAGGAGGGAGGAGATGATGCCCAGGTAAAGAGCCTCCCCGAGTTCGAACTTCATGCTGTCGGGGAGCACGGGGTTGCGGAAATCCCGCAGCACCACGTGGATGTTCCACACCAGCGGGATGAAGCAGAGCAGCCCCCCGAGGATGAAGACCACGCCACCCGCCACAGCCACCCGGTCCTTGCCCGGTGAGCCCTGGTTGAAGACAGTGCACCTCATGCCCACGATGGTGAGGAGGCAGGCGAGGGAGGACACGGCGCAGGAGCTCACCATCAGGGCTTGGGCTGCCTGGATGTCGGCCGGCAGGTTGAGCAGGGAGCTGTAGATGTCACACTGGGTGATGCCCGTGCTGTACGTGGCGCACTCCATCCACAGCCCCTTGGTGAAGCTCACGGCTGTCACAATGCTGGAGCCGATGTAGGAGCTGGTCTTCCAGCTGGGCAGCAGCGTGGCTGTCAGCGTGCCGATGTAGCCCAGGAAGGCCACAGTGTAGCCCAGCAGCTGCAGCCCCATGGACACCATGGTGGGGGCCAGCTGTCACCTACCCAGGGCTCGCGGCTTCTCGCCCAGTTCCCTCCTGTGTGCTCACGTTCCCATGGCCCTGCGAGGAGCTCCGCTCGCAGCGCTGCAGCTCCACCCCGCTCCTGGGGCTGCTGGTTTTGTGCAGGGTGGGAGCTGCGGGGAGTTACCTGCAGGAGTGGAGAGCAATCCCTCACAGATTAACGATTGACCCAAGCCCGTGGAGGAGCGCCAAGCGCCCTTTCACCTCCGCTATCTCCTCAGCCAGGCTTCAGAGGCAGAGCAGCGCTGCCCAGGAAGGACGCCAAAGCCCTCCCCTGCGCTGACGCCACGGGCAGGGATGGAGAGCCAGCTGCTGGTGGGGGGAAAGTGCCCACACTCTTCCTGGAGGTCCCTTGTCTCCTGTGATGTCCCAAGCCGAGGAAGCCAAACACTATTATTTGGGACTTCAGGTGGTGGCCCTGAGGCTTTCCCAGCAGAGGAAGAGGGATGGCACCTCCTCCCCATCTGCAGGGGCTCACCCAAGGCATCTGCAGTCACCCACAACCCACCCCAAGCTGCTGAGGCTCCACTGGGACAATGGGATGTGCCCATCTGAGGTTGAACCATGGATATCAGCCTTTCCATGCTGCTGGGGACAATGATGGAGAGGGATGCATATGACAGTGACACCTGCATCCCTGGGATAGCCTGGAGGTCCGCGGAGGGCAGAATCACATCACGGCAAAGCAGGCTGCCATTGCCTCGGGGATGCTTCCAGGAAGCACCCCAGCTGAGCAGAGTGACCTGTCCCATGGAGGGGTGAGCACAACGGGGTGCAGCTCCCGCTGGGTTTTTTCTGCCTGTGCCACCTCCTGCCCACCGCCCTGCATGCGGGTGTGGGGGTTGGCGGAGGTGGTGGAGCGAGTTGGTTTGTTTTCCCTCTGCTTTGTTTCAAAATTCCTCCTCCTGTGGTGCCTTGCGAAACCGGACTGAGCCCACACTGCCCTGGCACCACCGCGGCCAGTGGCCTCCCTGTCACCCCGGGAACGCTCCTGGCTGAGCGTGCTGCCACCCCCCAGGGCCTCCGCTCTGCTCCCCGTCCCCCCGCTGCCACTTCAAATGCTTGGCACCAAAGTCTCCCAACTTTCTACCCCCTCTCCTGTGCACTAACCAAGCCCTCCTGTGCCGTCCCAGGGGTGTTGCTGGAAAAGAAATGCCTGGGGTGCCCAGGGTGCTGGCAGAAAGGCCCGGGAGGGCTGTGCCGGGGCTCTGCGGTACTTACGGAGGAGCTGGAGGAGCAGTGCGGGACCAAGGGCGGCTGCAGCCGGGGGTCACCCGGGACTGGAGGCGGCTGGTCGGGGCAGGGTGAGCAGCCGGGGGGGATCAGGGGCTGCGAGTTGTTTAGCTACAGCTTTGCAAAATCCACCTGCAAATCTCCGCCTGGATCAGAGGCTTATTGCAGATCGGAATTAAACCCTTTTGGCGTCGGGAAGGATTGGGGAGCTGGGATGCCTTGTTTTGCTTGTTGTTTGTGAATTATCAGGGTAGGTTTTGAGTAATTGGCTCGGGACTGACGCTTGCTGTCACGCTTCTGGCCAGCCTTAGTGGCTGGCAGGTGACTGTGTGCCACCATCTGTGTGCCCGCTCTGGGCTGGGCTGCCTGTGTGGGGTTGGAGGGGCAGTGAAACACCAGCAGGTTCAACTCCCTGTGCCTCAGAGTAAGCCTGGGCTGTTGGTTCACTCTGCCTGGCCCTGCTTGTCCTCCGCGGGGTTTGTTGTTGTAAGACTACTGGCCCAAATGAGGAGCAAATGGAGAAGGTAATGAGGGCTGTGCTGGCCCCGTGCCCCCTCCTGCTCACCGGCTGCCACAGATGGAGAGAGGCAGGGAGGGCCCCTGGTGACAAATTGTGCTCAGAGCCAAGCAGGGTCCGGCCGGCGTTTGGACAGGGGTGTTTGGATGCTGATAGCAGAGCTACAGCGGGGACCATTTGCTATTTTCTTTCCTTGACCCAAACTGAAACACTCCCGGGAGCAGGAGGTGACCTGTCTGTCAGTGGCACTTTGCCTCGACCGCTTGGGCAGGAGCAGTGGGCAGGGAGGGGATGGGGGGCAGTGCTGGGGGGCATCAGACTTGCACCCTCGTATCAAGAAGTTTTTCTGTGCCTCCCAGTGTTGTCTCAAAATGCCAAAGGAGAGGGCAGGAAGAACAGGCAAGTGTGTGCCTTCCCCAGCATGGGGAAATGGGACCTGGCAGCTCCTTGGGACAATGGGCCATGGATGCCTGAGCAAGACCACTGCCCTGCCTCTGCCTGGGGTCCAGCCCTGCCACCTGTCTTCCCTCCCTGTCCTCCTTTGATTATCCCATCACAGAGCCTCCTGGTTGCTCTGTGCTTGCCTCCGGTGCAGCCCATCCAACTGTCCTCATCATGCCCATTTTACTGTCCCCATCACAAGCCCCCCACACTGTCCCCATGGCAGGCCCACCATGCAGTCCCATCCCATGCCCATTGCACTGTCCCCATCTCATGCCCATCATGCTGCCCCAACGCTCTCCATCCCTTCCCCCTCCGTTGTGTAAATGGCTACAAAGAACACTTAATCATCCTTGTTAATTGTCTCTGCCCTCCCCTGTTCCCCCCCTGGGGATTTTCTCACAAACGGTGTCTAACTTTTCCCTTGTGTGTTTTGCTTTTCCACCAGAGATCGCAGCCCCTCCGCCCCCAGCTCCCCCCCAGCCCTCTGTTTACACAACTGGGACAAATTTCACACCGCAGGGACTGCTGTCCCCACACCCCCAAGTCCTTTGCTCCCCTGCCCCAAAGAATTTGTGAGTCACCGCCAAGGCAGGGCTATAAATGTGTCCCCACCGAGGGTCTGCAGCGTCAGAAGGGACAGTGTCGCCTGTCACCATGCAAGCTGCTGCCTGTTGCCTGCCTCCCCACGGGCTCCGGGTGCCTGTGGCCACTGCTTGCCCAGCTCTGGGGCTGGAGCAAGGGGGAAGGTACTGCGCTGCCCGGGGGGAGGGAGGGATGGGGAAGGCTCCAGCTGGGTTCGGGCGAAGGCTGCGCTGGTGGGGACCCCTCTGATCGCGGCGGGCACGGGTGGGACAGAGGGTGCTGGCACCCGGGCAGGGGCTGATCGGGTGGGTGGGAGACTCTGGGGTGGTGGTGGGAAGGGCAAGGCAAAGGGGAGCGGGCCAGGGTGGGCGGCTGTCGCGCTGAACCTGCTGTCTCACCCAGACCCCTTCCTCTCTGGAGACCGTGGCTGCCCCGAGCCCAGGAGGGACCCGGGAGGCGGCGGGAGCAGACGGACCATGTGAGTTTGACACTTCCCTACTGTGTCTGTCCCCGTGTCCCACAGGTTGGGGTCCCTGTTGGGCAGAAAACCAGCCTCTCTCCCCGGAGTCCTTTCCCCCAGAGTCCCTCGCCGCCGGCATTGTTGCACTGTGGTGGTACCGTGCCCACCTCTCCTGGTGCATCACCCCGGTGCCCCACGCCGGGGCAGGGACAGGCTGATCCCCGGGGGGGGGGGCACGGCCAGCACAACCCCCCCAGCAGCCTGAAAGGGCCGGCTGTTTCCAGCCCGGGCGGGCATTCCTCAGGGGGTTAGCGGGATGCCTGGGCACGAGCTTCTGAGCACGGGGGGGAGATTACCCTGGCACAAAGCCTGCCTCGGGGCGGGGGGAGGGAGATGCCAGCTTCCTTTGCGGGAATGTGAGCGCCCCAACTCAGGGGGGATCTGCCGGGTCTGCTGGAGGGGAGAGCGCAGCCCCTGGTGCCAGCTGGGTAGGGGGGGAGCAGGAGCCCCCGGACAGGGACCACCCGGCTGTGTCTCCTCAGGCTCAGACTCGGGACGCAGTGAGGGACGACGGCCCCGACAAAGCGCTGTCTTTCTTCCGGCACCCGGTCAGGTATGAGCCCCGACACGGTGCCCCGGGGGGCGTGGGGCCGGCGGCGGGCGAGGGGCTCACCCCGGCTCTTCCCGCACAGGCTCCTCTGGCCCAAGTCCAAGGCCTTTGACCACCTGTACGGCGTCGGGGAGAAGCTGCTGGAGAACTTCCCGGTGCAGGCCACCCTCTGCTTTTATGAGGACTCGGGCAGCGAGGAGGAGGAGGAGGAAGAAGAAGAGGAGGAGGAGGAAGAAGAAGAGGAGGAGGAGGCAGGGGATGTGACAGCGGGTCTCTTGCCGCAGGCTGGCAGCGCCGGCCCCGGCAAGCCGTTGTGAGACCGCAGGCAGGGGCAGGCGGACCCTGCTGCGAGCGGAGCGGGCACAGACCCCGCCCGGGGTTCTCCGCCCGCCCCCGGGGCCGCGCCTGGGCTGTGCGGGGACCGCACCACGGCGCGGGACTACAACTCCCAGCGGCCACCGCGGCACCACCCGGCAGCCGCAGCGCGCCCTCATTGGCTGTCGGTACGAGCCGGGCCGGGGCAAGAGCGCGTGGCCCCGCCCACTGCCCACCTCGCACTCCTATCGCAGGAGGGAGGCGGGGCGCGCGCTCCGCGGAGCGGTGCGATTGGTCGAGGGGCGGTGAGGGGCGTGTTGGGGGCGTGGTCTCCTCTCCCCTCCCTGCCCGCCGGCGGGAGGGAGCGGCTGCGGCGCGCGCGGGGCCGCCATGAGGTACCGGCGGGTCTGGGGGGCGGCGGCGGGCACCGGGCACCGGGCACCGGGCAGGGCCACCGGGGATGGGGCGGCAGGGAACGGGCTGAGGCTGGCCGGGGGTCTCTGGGCGCTCGGGGAAGAGCAGAGCGGCGGAGCCGCGGGGAGATGTGTCGGTGGGGCGGGGGGTGTGTGGTGGGGCAGGGGCTCGGCCGGGGCTGGAAAGCCCCCGAGCAGGTGAGCTGGGGGTCCCTGTTGTGGGGTGACAGGTGAGCTGGGGGTACCCGCCGTGGGGCGGCCCTGGAAGCCGAGGGCGGTGGGAGTGATTTGGAGCTGGGTTTGGGCACGGAGGGGCCGGGGCGGAGGCTGCCGGGGCAGCCGGCGCGGGGAGCGCGGTGGGGTCTGGAGGCTGTTTTGGGAGGACGAGGCTTCCCGTGGGGATCCCACGGTCCCTGTCTGGTGTAGCCTCTTCTCACGGTGGATCCTGGCACGGAAAAACCCCCAGTGCTGGATCCAGCTGAGCCGCTGGCACCGCGGCTACGTGATGCCGGCAGAGTCAGCATCCTCCCTGCGCGGCGCGGCACGGGGGGCTGTGGGTCCCCCTGCCCTGGACCTGTGCCCCCCCAGCCTGTCGAGGAGATGCCATCCCCCAGCGTGGACCCCCCAGGCCCGCTCGGGGGTCGGCACCACGCGTTGCACCGTGTTTTCCCGGCACGATTTCCTCCTCTGGCGTCGGTGACGGGAGCGGGGGCGGAGATGGGGGAGCCTGGGGGAGACACAAATGTGCGACTGCAGCATCCTCACTCCCATGGCTGCATCCCTCGCGCCTCCTCACGGTTGCCTTGGCAACCTCCTATCGATGGGGTATTTATAGAGGATGGGAAGCCGGAGGGGGGGACCGGGAATGGGTGGGCGTCTGCTGGGTCAGCCTCCAGCTTCAGGCTTCTCTCAGCCTGCGTGGCTGTGTGGGGGCGGGAGGGATGCTGCTCCCCTTGGCGTCAGCGCGTGTGGTGCTCCAGCTTTTCCTGCTCGCAGGAGCCGGGGGAGGTGGTTGAGGAATTTGCACGTGGAAATAAAAATAAGTGTCTGGGATGTGTGCCCTTCTCACCGGCATCGCTCGTGCTTCTGGGCTTGTGTGGACCTGCCTTATTGTTTGCACTTGGAATAAAGCACCCCTGTGCTCTGACACTGGGAGCATTGACACAGATGCTTGGAAAAAAACGGAAAGACTGTAAATTAAATGAAACGACGTTAAATTTGTTGCCTGATGAATGATGTGGGTTATGTAGCTGGGGATCCTGACAGATCCGGTCTTGAATATCCTCATTTCTGTGTCTCTGTTCTCCTGCCCATCAAAGAGGGGGAATGCCCATAACAACGAGTGCTTGTGTGGGAACTGTGGCAAGTTCTCTGTGCTGTCCCTTCTTTTATCCTGGGGGTTTGGGTCTCTTTTTAAAAACTGATGACAATAAAAGCGGGTCAGGTGGTCCCTGCTCAGAGCTGACACATCCTGCCAGGGAATGCATGGATCCAGGGGTCTGTGGGGGGATCCATGGATCTGGAGGGCAGTGGGAGAATGCATGGATCTGGAGGCCTCTCACATCCTCCAGGAGGGCTCAGAGAAGCAGAGCTGGGCTGGGGGGCATAGGAGGCAGCAGACCCCTCCTGTGTAGTTCTGATGCTCTCCTGCTTTCCCTCATTCTTGCTTCAACTCCAGACTGAGGTTTGCAATCTGAGCTTTGCAAACTGTTGGGAGGAAGCTGCTTTCTCCCTCTGGAGACAGGTCCAGGCTTGCCTGCCCTCTTGCCACTTATGGTGTAGGAACCTTGGAAACCACGGGAAACCTGATGTTGGCAGAGAGAGGTGCTCCCTTTACTGGAAGGTGGCTGTTGTGACGTGTGGTGCTGCCTGCTGTGATGGTGTGTGGCACCAGCCCTTCTGTGTGTCTGGGTGCCTGATTTTTATGTGGGAGGAGAGCTGTGTTTCCAGCCCTGCTGACCCCGTGGATGGCTCTGTGCTGTCCCTGGCCTCACTCCAGCTGAGCTAACCCAAGGGCTTTTGGAATAACTGAGTATCTGAAGTCCTGGACCTGAGACCAGCATGTGGTTTAGTTCCTGCTGTTTCTAACAGTGTTAGATCACTGTAGGAGCTGGGAGTCCTGTCCCTCTGTCTCCTGACAGAGTGGTGGCTTTGCCACAGCAAGATGTCACACGAAGTGAGAGTTAGCCCAGGGTTGTCTGATCCATGGGGAATTGAGCACAGGGAGAAGGCAAAGCACGAAAAACAAGTAGATGACACTCCTCCTGCAGGCAGAGAGGAGTATCCTCTCCTTCTGCAGGGCTTTGCTTCACTCTTGCGGGGTTTTGTTTACTATAGTTTTGCTCTTTAAGCACAAAAGGTGCTTTTCCAGCTGGAGAGCTGCTGTCCTGGGTGTGCAGGGAGCTCTGTCACTCTTGCTGCTGCCCTTACAGAGGCCCAGCAACCTTCAGGAGATGCATGTCCTTTTCTTTCCTGCTGTGTAGTCAGCTTTATGGCAGTGGAGCAAACTGTGTGGCCCCATTTATTGCAGATTGTGGGTAGGAGTTGCAGAAGTGAGAACTGGCATGGCTGTGACATTGCTGTAAAACAGGATGACTGCTTTACCTGTATCCATCAATCTCTTGTGGAAGGGAAGAGCACCAGGCTGTTCCCAACAGCTTCTGACACGGCAGGTCATCGTGTCTGCTGATGAGAAATGTGGTCTCTCCTTCACCCAGTTCTTCCCTTCCTACTTTGCACTGGGCTGCTTGGGCAGGGCCAGTGGGCTGGGCCCTGGTCCTCCCTGGGCTCCCAGCACTCCAGGGGCTGAGGGTCCCTGAGCCCCTCCAGCCATGCAGTGAGTGGGGAGGCAGCTGGAGTCCTTGGCTCTCTGCAGGGGCACTGCTTAGCTGGGATCTGTCCTGGGTCCACCGGTCAGCACCCTGCTTTCTGCATGAATCTGACTCTGGGTGATGGAGGTCTTGGGCTCTAGGGGGTGATTTAATCTGTCCTGTTTTCTTCTCTGCAGGTAGGCAGGAGCCCCCCGTGGCCGAGTGAGGCAGCATGGCAAGTAAGTGCTCCCCAGGCAAGATGGAGAGGTGGCAGTGGTGCTGGAGAGGAGAAGGGGGATGTTTGGCAGCCATCTCTCACGGGAGGGGGTGCCTGTGCTTTTTTTTGGGGTGTTATCCTCTATGGGGAGCTGATGCCATCAGCTGTTACCCCTGGATGAGGTCCGAGGTCCGGCCTGACTTGTGCTTCTCTCTCCCCTCTGCAAGGTGGGAGTCGAGAGGAGGTGCTGAAGGTCTGACCTCTCTGGGACTGCCCAGAGGCCACAGCATTTCTTTCTGTGTGTGGTGCTTGCTGTGCGGGACGGGCCTCCCCGAGGCTCTGTGGGCTGAGTGGCCCCTGTGCAGGGGCTGCTGGCCTGCTCTGGCACCTCCCAACAACAGAGCTCCTCGTGGCCACAGCTGCCACCCCACCAGGGCCCACCCAGGGGGCCACACTGCCCTGGGGCCTGCGTGCTGGTGCCACTGGGGCTCTGTGTTCCCGTGGACGTGGCACCTCCAGAGGAGTGCCTGGACGGCGGGGCTGAGGCTGGCGAGGGTGCAGGGTGGAGGATGGCGTGTGGGCTGTTCAGAGCCGGGCTCAACCCTCCCTCCTCGCTCTCCTGGGCAGCCTGTGCAGAGGCTGCGTGCAGCAGTGTGCTGGGAGCTCAAGGAGCATGGCAGTAGTGAGTGGAGAGACGCAGAGATCTGTCTGGGATCTCAGGATTTGCTCGGAGCGTCGCCGGAGCCAGCGGTGAAGGTGGAGGCAGTGTCCACGCTGGGGAGGAGGAGGAGGACCCTAGGGATGACAGGTATGCCTTCTTTCATTATGTGTGCTGTGCTGGGTGGGGGGGAGCAGAGATCTTCAGGCAGTGTTTTTAAAAGGCTGCCTTAATCTCCAGTTAATGAGGAGGGTGCCCAGCTGGGTCCCTGCCTTCCTGCACTGCTGCCTTTTCTCCCTCCCAGAGCTCAGGGGCTGGGTCACCAACATTTCCTGGTTGTGGAAGGTGTCCCCTGTGGTGGCAGTGTCCCCTGCCAAGTCACCCCTTCATGGTGACCGTGACGTGCAGGAGGGGGATGTGGTGATGAGCCTGTTCCCCGTCACACACTGTGCAGCAGCGAGCAGCCCCGTCTGTCCCTCTGCAGGCACAGCTGCGTGTCCTTCTCCAGAGAAACAGCCCTGGGGGGTCCCCCAAGCTGGGCAGCCAAGATGTGGGCTAGTGTCCACCAGGGGCCATCAGCAGCCCAGGAAAGCCAGCAGGGATGAGGTGAACCCAGCCCTCAGTCCTGCTTCCCCCGCCTAAAACTCTGATCTTTCCCGAGCACTGGTTCTCCAGCTGGTGTGGGAGACTTGGAGAGGCACAGGGGGTCAGTGCTGAGGCTGCTGGGCTTTGGGAAGTCCCCATAACTCTGGGGCTTGGGGACAGGACTTGCTCTGCTGTCTGCTCTTCATGTCAGTTGGGGATCCAGGTTGGGGATGAGAGGCTCTTGTTTGCTGAAGGCCTGTGTGGTTTTCCTGCTCTGGTCCCCAGGCACATGGGAGCTCTTTGCACTTTCCACGTAGCAGAGGGGAGGGAGCAGCGACTTAGTTTCTGCTCTCCTGCCATTTGCATGTGGGGAGAGACACACCCCTCTGTCACAGCATGCTTAGAGTTGGGACACTGTTTGTGATACCTGCCTGCCTGTGTGTCTGTTTTTATTTCCCACCATAGTGGCCAGCAAAGCAGGGAAGGGGTCAAGTGACCGGTGTCTGCAGGGATGGAAAGCCCTGACAGTGAGATCTGCAGCCAAGCTTGTTGCTCCAACATGTGCTGAGGAAGTTGGAAAGAGTCTCAGGCTCGAGTGCTGAGGAGGGGAGAGTTTACACCGCAGCCTGATCAAGGTGGGAGGCAAAGGAGGTGAGGCCAGACTTCTCCAGCAAAGGATGGGACATTTGCAGAATGGGTGCTGTCTCTGTAAAATTTCATCTTCTTCTGGAAAGGCTCAAGAGGAGGTCGGCCTGACAGCCTGCTCTCTCTCCAGCCAGGATAACCCTCCTCAACTGTGAAAGCCAAGGCAAGCTGATCCCTGCCTGCCCTTCTGTGAGATGCCTTCTGTGCCTCTTGAAAATGCTTTTTCGGTTATCCTTGTAAAAAAAACAAAAACAAAAAAAAAGGTTTGCATAATAAAGTCGATTCTGAGGGAAGATCTGTGACTCACATCATTCATGCTGCTCTTCATTCACACCTCAGTGGTTCAGCCTTCTGCAAACTCTCTCACTGAAGCAAGGCATTAATAAATCACGAGGGGAAAATGCACCTACACAGCACAAAAGGAGCACAGTGCCTCCAAGCCCAGGATGGTGTAGCACAGCAGTAGTTGCCTCTCACACCATGATCTCATCCCTGTTGATATTTACAAATACTCTCACAAACACCTTGCTGTATTGTTTTAGGAGCAGGATATGTGGAAGGTAAAGCAGAAGGAAACCTGCCTTTCTCCCTGGCAAAAGGCTCCTAAGGAAAGAAGTTGGTAGCTTTCCACTGACTGTTGTGTTTGATCTTCACTGAGATCTTTGTTAAAGGAGTATTTCTGTGTTAGCACCAAGCTGGTCACATGGGAGACTCCGTGTGTCCCCCTGCCTCCTTTTCCTGCATCTTTGGTGCTGCTGCTCTGTGAATTGGTTCACCTTGTTGATCCAGTGGAAGACTAAGCCCGAGGGTGAAGGAGGTAAATATGTTCCCGTGGATCAGCCAGCTGAACCGATTCATCTTCCTCAAGGGAAGCAGCATGATTTTGTGGCGTGGTGGGAAGAGATGGAGTCAGCCCACAGCCGAGTGTGTTGAGCTGCATTGTGGAAACACTCACTCCTGAAATGTGTGCATGGGATGTTTGGATCCTGGGAGGATCATGTTTTGTGTGAAGTTTCTGCTTTCTGGGCAACAGGTTGTTTGCCTCCTGTGCTGCTGCAGGTCCTGGTAGGTGCCTGCCTCCTGTGCCCCATTGGAGTCTCCTTCCTGCAGAATATGTGGGGAGAGGCTTTGATGTCTCTCTTGCAGGCGGGAAGGTGCTCTTCCTGCTCACTCTGCCTTCCTGACTGCATGCTCTGTGGGAACACCTGAGGAGTCTCCCAGGCTTTGGGAGCAGAGGAAGGTTTGTGAGGCCTCTGCACCAAAACACAGCAGGGATGAGAATGTGATGAGAGGAGAGGTTGTTCAGGCCCTCCTCAGTACCTGAGTCATGACCCCCTGTGCTGTCCCTGTATGTTGGGGATGTTTGCTCTTGTTGGCCTGGGAGAAGACACAGTGGTTTCTCTAGGACCTGAGCAGAGTCCTTGAAGCCACCTGAGCCTGCATGACCCCTCAGCAGCTGGCAGCAGGGCCAGCAGCTCCCAGCAGGCTGTCGTGCAGTGAACTGTGTGCTGTGAGTCCCTCTCGTGCCAGAGCCCTGGCTCTCCATCCCAGCCCTGCAGGGTCTCCCTCGCCTGGTGGGATCTCCCTTGCAGCAAAGAGGCAGAAAGGTGAAGTTCGTCACGGGCAGGAGGTTGAAAACAAGTATTTTTGGAACCTTCTGTCGCTTCTTCAGTTGCCCTGTGTGGCTGCAGCTGCTGCTTGCAGTGTCTCCAGCACCTCAGCCCTGATGGAAGGGCTCCTGGTGCCATACATCTCTGGGCAGACCCCAAGAGCCCTGTGCCCCTCTGGGTGTGCTCTCCCACAGTGGGCACTCTGCTGTGCCACCTCATTTGTAGCCCTGGGCTTTTGGTGTTGGGAATGCCTGTAGCACCAGGAAGCCAGGTGGGAAAGCTGGGCTGGGCAGAGGCCAGGTATGGGGTTGTCCCTGCTCAGCATGTCTCTGCCTTGTGTGTTGCAGTGTTCTTGGGGGCCAGGAATGCCCACTCGGTCCTGAAACGCTTTCCCAGAGCCAATGGCTTCCTGGAGGAGATCCGTCAGGGCACCATCGAGCGGGAGTGCATCGAGGAGGTCTGCAGCTATGAGGAGGTCAAGGAGGTGTTTGAGAACAAGGAGAAGACGGTGAGTTTGTCCTGCCCTGCTCCCCAGTGGATGTGTGAGGGCTCACACTTCAGCAAGCTGGAGACGGAGAGGGAAAGCACAGGGGGAACAGCCTCTCCTGTTCCCTTTGTCCTCTTCTGTCTGCAGGCAGCGTGGTGTGGCCTCACTTTCCAGCATGGCTTTCCCTTCCTGGGCCACTGCCTTGGTTGTGCCAGGACACCCTGTCCACAGCTGCAGGTCAAGCTGGCACTCCTGTGGCACCTGGGAAATCTGTGCTGTTGTCCCTGACTCTCCAGGCTGGGGTTGATGTGAGCTAAATTTCTCCCTGCTTGGTGGGGGGGCTGTTGGCCACTGTTGAAGGATGTTCCCACGACCACCTTTGTTGGTTCCTACAGCACCTCAGGTGAAAGTGGTGGGGGACATCTGAAAAGCTGCCTCTTTTGTGGCCCTGGGGAAGGCAGTGATTATTGCTGGTGGTGGTCAGGGGGTGCTTCTCCCACCTGCAGCACATGATGGTTGTTTCTCTTCTCCCGCCACAGATGGAGTTTTGGAAGGGCTACACCAACTCTGTCTACTCTGTCAAGGACCCTGGGCACAGCACGGAGCGCTCTGATGCCATGTATGTGGTGGTGCCCCTGCTGGGAGTGGCCCTTCTGATAGTCATCGCCCTCTTCATCATCTGGAGGTGCCAGCTCCAAAAGGCCACCCGCCACCGCCCTTCCTACGCCCAGAACCGTTACCTGGCCAGCCGGACGGGACGCAGCCTGCCCAGGGTCATGGTGTACCGGGAGCGCTCCCAGAGCCAGGGGGAAACCCCGTACCAGCGGGAAGCCAGCACCCGGGGGGCTGGAGACGGCAGAGCTGGGGGCACCCCCCCCCAGCAAGACAACACCCTCTGCCCGCCAGAGCACTCGGTCTCCATCCTCTCCAGACTGTCCAGTGCCACCCCTCCGCCTTCCTACGAGGAGGTGACGGGCCACCCCGAGAGCAGCAGTGGGGAGGAGACCAGCGTCTCCTACAATGACCCGCCGCCCAAGTATGAAGAGATCGTGGCCACTGCCCCTGCCACGGGCAAATAGCGGGTCTGCCTCCCTCCTGCCTCCTCACACACTCACACCCACCCACCCTCCCTTCGCCGTGCCTGGGACCCCCTCCCGGTGTCCGTCGGGCCCCCGCCTCACCTGTACAAGCTGGTGCCATCACACAATAGCCTTACCCTCCTAACCAAAAATAGCTGTCCCCAGGTGGGGTGAGGCCGGGCTGTGGGGGTGGCTCTGGAGCCAGCCAGCCATCTCCTGCCCCTCACTCCCCACTCACGTAAGTGCTGTAGCAGCCAGAGCCGAGCAGCAGCTTGTTCCTGGCTCAACGCGGGGGTCTCCCCATGGTGCATTTGATTCCCTCACTTCCCCCTCGAGTAGACATAACATTTCCCATGATTAGAACAGCCTCGCTGCCTCCCTGGGCTGCTGCCCAGCCTCGCCCCATGTCCCCACTGGGCCCTGTTCTGCTTGGGGCTCTGATTAGGGATCCTGGGGATGCAGGATTGGTGTGGCAAACTTCTGTCCATCCTCACAGTTGGTGTCCACGCTCTCTGTTTGGGGAGATGGTTCTTCCCCTGTGTGGATTTGTTGCCAAGTGGGAGTGAGGAGCCCGGTCCATACTCTGGTGCCTGTAGCAATATTTGCTGTCTGGAGATCAAGGAGGAGCAGTAAGGAAGGTGTTCTCCTAGATCCCTTTGAAAAGGGGGAAGGGCTCACGGTGGTCTTGTACCTGAGGTAAGTGGCATTGGAGCAGCAGAGTCTTTTCCTGATGCTCTCTGCTTTCCCCCTCTGGGTTGCTGGGCAGCTGGAGGTTTGGCTGTGGCAGAGCTGGCCAAGAGGGTCATCTTTGATCCCAAGCCAGACATGGTCCCATGGCTTTAAGTGGTGAGGATGCTTCTCTCTCCTGGAGTGTGGCCTGCCTGGTGTCTGCCCCAGAGGTGGGATTCTGGCACAGAGAGCCTGTGGACAGGCCAAACCTCCCCTCTCCCTACCCCAATCCGCCCTGCCTGACCCCTCTTTTTGGGGTTCTTTCTCCTCCAGACCAGGTAAAGGGGAATGTGAGGCCCCACTCTCCTGGCTCCTCTGGTGGGCAGAGTGCTCGGTGGGCAGGGCTGTGGATGGGGGGCTTGCTGACAGGGGTGGGAGCCATGAGACCATGGCTCAACCTGGCCATGCCAGGCGGGAGCAGGGAGGTTGTGGAGCCAGGGCAAGGCAGAGCTGGGTGCTTTGCTGTGACACCAGAGTATCCCTTTTTCCTGGGCAGCTGCCTTTGGGGTCCAAACAACGGGGCTGTCCTTTCTCCTTTCCCAGTCATGTCTGATGGATTAAAATGGGGGTTGTGCTCACCAGCCCCCCAGAAACTTCCAGCACTGCCACCACTCGGTGTTCACCCCAGCACCAGTCTCTCCACCAGCACCTAAAGGCTATTGTCCATCCATAGGTGGCCTGCATCCTGCTCGGTCCCAGTGATGCTCTCGCAGCAGGTGCCCTCAGCCCAGAGCTGAGACTTGCCCAGCGTGGCTTTCCCGGGGCAGGACATGCTGGCACCTTGTCTGTCCCCTCCCCAGCCTTAGCAAATCAAGGTTATGGGGAGACCAGAGCCTGGAAAAGACCGGAGGGAGACAGCAGGGCTCTCTGCATCCTCTATCTTTGATGCTCAGTCATTATCCCTGCAGTTTGTACTCTGTAAAACTTGGTATATTTCTGTGCAAAAAAAAAAAAAAAGGTATTTATTAAAAAACCCTCACTGTCTTAGCGGCACAGGGTGGATTTTTCCCACAGAGGGTGTCGTGGTTTAAACCCAACCGCCAACTCAGCCCCACACATCCACACAGTCCCCCCTCGGTGGGATGGGGGAGAGAATCAGAACAGTAAAAGTGAGAAAACTCGTGGGTTGGGATAAAGACGGTTTCATGAGTAAAGCTCTGCATGCAGGGAAGGCAGAAGAAGGAATTCATTCACCACTTCCCATGGGCAGGCGGGTGCTCGGCCATTCCAGGACATCAGGGCTCTGTCACACATAGTGGTGACTTGGGAAGACAAAATGCCATCACTCCAAACATCCCCCCTTCCTTCTCCCCCAGCACAGGGGGAATGTCTCACTGGGCGCAGCTGGATTTCCATCCTGGGGGGTGCTGGGGCTCAGCTCTGTAAGGCAGCCGTGGGACTATGGATGACACCAATACCCTCCACTACGGCACAGGACAGTCCCCAGGGAGGATGGGAGGGTCTCTGGAGAAGGAATGTGTGTTGCTGTGGGGCTGGGAATGAATCCCACACATCCAGCCAGAGCCTTGGACTTCCCTGGGCATGTGTGCACTTCTGAGTGAGAGCTGGAGGGTGTCCTATGAGCCCCGGCCAGTGGGCAGGTGAGGTGCAGAGGGTTTTCCTAAGGTCTTTGAGGGGACTGAGGTGCACAGGTTGTCCTGCTGTTCCTCTGTGTGCTCCTAAACCCCTTAGATAATCCCCTTTAAATAGCAAGACTAGGGCAACGGGGGATTTATTTTAAGTCCTTTCAAACCCAGATTTTACGGTCAGGTCTCGGACCCTGTCCCCATTCAGAAGTGTTTAAAACTGTCTTTAATCCCAAACGGATCATTTTATCGCCGCGGAGAGGCCGAGATTAGCTCCGGCACAGCTCGGCACAGCCCGGGCTCCGGGCCGGGTGCTGCGGGGGCTGCGGGCTGGGCACGGGTTTGCGGGGGTTTGCCCGCAAACGTCGCGGGGGTCGCGCGTGGGTGAGGACGGGGACGTGGTGAAGGTCCTGGGTTTGCTTCTGCCCCCGGCAAGAGCAATCCCACCCCTCCAGCACACGGCTGAGCTGTGCTGGGGACAGGGGGGCACAGGGGGTGAAAGACACATCAGGATGAGGCGCAGCCCGTTAATTATCGGCTGCGGCTTTAAGCGCGGAGGGGCGGGAGGGCTGTCAGGGGGCGGGCTGGTTACCGGGGAGGGCTGGTCTATTTACCGGGGGGGCCGGGCTGCCTCTGCCGGCACCGCCCCGTCCCGGCAGCGGGCGCGGCTGTTTACAGGTCCGACAAGTTGCGTTGGTCTGCGAAAAAAAGTAAGTTCCCCCCCCTGCACCGCACTGCCCCCCTTGTCCCCCCGCAAAGCCGGTGGGTGCCGCAGCCCGGGCCGGGGCTCTGCGGGCCGCTGGAGCGTCCCCCGCGGCCGGGATGTCCCCCTCGGGAGGACGTGGTACCCACCCCGCGCCCGCCCCGGCCGGGTCCCCTCCCGCGTGTCCCGTGTCCCGAGCTCCTTGCCCCGCGCGGGGGTCAGAGCCCCCCATGCCAGGGGGGCAGCGGGCTCACCCCGGGCCGGGTGCCGAACCCCTTCCCCTCCCGCTGAGCCCCTCTCTGCCCCAGTGAGCCTCTCCCCGAGCCTAAGGGCAGAGCTGAGAACAAGCCCACTGCTCCCTCCAGCACCCCATCCCGAGAGGTGGTACCCTGGTTGGTACCCCGCCTGCCTTGTTTGGGGTGTCCTGGGCTGGGGAGGGACAGAGAGAGGGAGGTTGTAGAGTTTCCTTCCCCGAGGCAGGTTTTCCTGGCTTTCAGGACTTAAACCTACTCGGGCTTAGTGAGCCGGAAATCCCTGTCACTGCAAATCCAAGGAGAAGTGCCAAAGCAGAGGCTGAGCCTGTGCCGGTGAGCGGGGGGTGTGCTTGGCATGAGCTAGAAAAAGCCCTGAAGAAAGTTAAAGGAGGAAATCCAGCCACTTAAGCATTTTGTTCTTATGGGTTTTGACAGCTATTTTTTTTCCTTTTCTTAATAGCTTAGTCTCTCAGAGCCTGCTTCTCACCTCTTCCCATCCCTTTGCTCCTTGGGAGCTGCAGTGGTTTCACAGGTGATTAGAAAATGAACCCATCTGCCCTCTCCAGATTTACTGTTATTAATATATGCTGGTTTCCCGGAGAACAGGCTGAGAGAGCAACACAGGGTGTTCACCAAAAATGTGAAGGAGAAGCTCACAGAAGGAAGGCTGTGGACCATGGGCTGGGTGTCTGATGCAGGTTTCCCTTATGGGACTGACACCCCTTTGGGACCAGCCCAGGAACTGCTGTCCTGTTCTCAAGCGGGCGGTTCCTGCAAAAATCTACTTTCTTTAAGGTTTTGGGGAGAAGCGGGGGGGGTGTGTGTCACCCACCCATGGCAGTGTTGGTGCTGGGGAAGGTGTGGGACAGCCAGGGGCTGCTGGGCCCCCCCCCCACCGTGTCTCCAGCAGTGCCTCTGGAGCAGACCTGATGCAGGGACAGGGATGTAGTAGTGTCACCGTGGCTGGAAGCAGGAAATCATCACTGCTGATGCTGGGCAAATGCCTGTTTGCAATTAAAAGGTTTTTAATGACATAGGAGGGGAGAGCAGCACAAGGCAGGTGATCACTGGAAGTGCTGGTTATTGCAGGTGTGGAGCTGGTTCTGCCACCCTCCTGTACCTCGCTCTCATCCAGCTTCACCCCGTTTGGCTTTGGAGAGGGAAACCTCTCCTTCCTCCAGCTATTTGGGCTGTGTTGGAGCAGGCACAGGATGGAGATTTTGACCTAGAAGCAAAGGGGGACCCTTTGGGGCTTGGTGAGCTCAAAGGGTGATAGCAAGGAGGTGCAGGGGTGCTGTGCATGCATGTGGCACCTCTGGAACACCAGGGCAGCACTGGGGTCAGGCTGGAGTCTTCCAGCCTCACCAACCCTCGCTTGGGGTTTTCTCCTTGGCTGCAGCTTTTTGGGAAAGAATGAGGAGTGCCTATACTGGGAGCCAGGAAGGTGTTTTTTGGGGCTCCTCTCCCAAAAGTGTATGTTGATTGCCCTCACTTGCATCAGTCAGTGAAAGTGTTGGGATGTGGCCCCAGAGCACTTCCCAAAGACTTGGCAAAGGGGAAACTGAGGCATTTGTGCTGCAAAGCCCCGTGTTCTGGTCCTGCTATCAGCTGCTCCCAGGAGCTGTGAGAACTGGGGACTGTGTCCCTCCTCCCTGCTGGTCCCCTTCTGGAAGGGAGCTGAGCAGGGGGACTCTGCTCCAGACTGGGGAAGGTGATGTGTGCTTTCCCTTCCCCTCTTGGGAGGATGGTTCAGCATTTGGCAGCTGAGCTCAGAGTAAATTCCATCCTGTTCAGCTGGTTGGGGCACCTGAGGAGATGGGTGCTGGACTGTGGGGGGAATGGGGATGCTGCAGTGAAAGTGTGTGCAGAGAGTTTAGTGCTCAGTTTTTCCTATGGTAACCTGGAAGCTCATCACCAAAATGTGTTTTGCTTTTAGAAAACCTCATTTTTCCTCAAAGGTATGTGAACATGAATATGTGATCCCAGCCCTCCAAAAAATCTTTACTTCTGGATTGAAAATATTTTTTTCACTGTTTTTGAGGGTGTACTGAGCTGCTTTTCTTGCACACGTGTGCAAAGCACTTTCCTTGCTGAGAGCAGTAAGTGCTAAGTTCATACTTGGCTCCCAGGACACGTGCAGTGGCCCTGCAGCCTTGTCCCCACCAGCTGGGCTTTTTGGGACACCCCCTTTTCCCTGACAGCTCCTACAGTGCCTGTCTTCTGGGTCGTTTCTACCTGTATTTTGGCTGTCTTATAGCACATGTGTTGTCCCTGTGCAGGTGCCAGTTTGGAAGAGCTGCCACTGTTGACACTTTCACTCAGCTTTCTTTCCCTCTGTGTGAAACCCCAGGGTGCTGGAGGCATCAGAGGAGATCAGCAAAGATGTGGCCACTGTGGGGACTGGACCTGAACCGAGTCCGCTGTGACCTGCACTTCACAGAAGCCATCAATCAAAGGATGCAGGTTCCCAACAGGCTGAAGGTAGCAGAGAGCTGCAGCCCTGTGGAAAAGGAGCGAGTGACAGAGGATGTCCCTCCCTCCTTTCGGATGCACATCCCCGATAGGATTTCTCTTGCAGGTAAAGTCCTGGGCTGTCTGGTTTTGGGGTGGCTGAAGATTGGGTGGGGCACTACAACATCCTAGGGAGTAGGATCCCTTTATAAAGACCCCAGTTATTTGCTTTGCAAGAGATGAGGACAGGGGCACAAAATGCAGTCAGCTTTCTTCTGGAAGGTAGGACAGGGTGGTGGAGAGGTGCTTGGGAAGAGGTGGGCAAAGATGACCAACAGAAGGCAGGAGGGGTCTTAGTTCCAAAAGGTGAGGAGCAATATGTGGAGGCATCTCCCTGTATGTCTCTTAGAGTTCCCTCTTGGCCTCTGGTAGGCTCCCTGCTTTGGGGTGCAGGACATTTGACCCTGTCTTTGAAAACCAGCACTGTCCTTTGAAAACCCACTTGCTGTCCTGAAGCAGGGGATGTGCCTCCCTGGGCTGTGCTGCAGCTCACAGCTGCAGGATGAGGTTTTTGTATGTCTGATACTGTGCATAGGCTTGGCTCTCCTACGCGGGTGGATCTCTCTTCTCTCCTCTCCTGAGGCCATTCAGGTTGGCTTAACTCTTCTCTCTCTCCTTTCTGTAGAAATATCAGATGCCAGTTTGAGGCCGGTCCCGCTGAGCCAGCAGAGGAGGGTCCCCTCTGTTGTGGTGCACATGTCCCCGGACCCCTGTGGGCAGCCCACCCCCCTGGGGGAGCTCCCTTTCCTGCACACACCCAGCAGGTCGAGCGCCCAGAGACGCAAACGATCGGTACTGTACTGGCAGGGCCCGGGGCTGCCTCTGGTGGGGAATGGGAGCAATCCCAGCTTGGGGTTTTTCCAGAGCTCTGTTATCACCCCGAGCCAGAATTCATCTTGCAGAGTGCTGCCTCCTCCCAGGAGGTCCCAGGAGCGAGGGTGTAG